CTTAGAGATTCTATGGCCTTTTTCTCTGGTAGAGAGAGGTTGTTGTGGTGACGTGTGTTGCTGATTATTTCATTGTTCATTCTTTCCCTGAAGCAGTCAATATAGCGGTCAAGGTTAGGGTTTCGTCCACTGCGAGTTGTCCAGTCTGATGTTTTTTGGGCTTTTTGGCGTTGATCCTTTCCTGAATGTTGTCAGAGGATGAGTTGTTGTTGGGAGTGGGTTCAGTTTGGTCGTGGAAATATTCTTTGAGGCGCAGGCGTCGGAAGAATTCTTCTAGTTCTCCACATTGAAGTATTTTGTTAGGGTATTTTTCTGGACAGAAATTTAGGCCTTTAGAAAGGACAGATTTTTCAGTTTTGGTAAGCGTGTGTGTAGAGAGATTGATAATATTTGTGGGTTGGTACATTTTGGCTGTTTAGAATATGCAGCTATTATACGGTATTATTAAGAAAACAGTGCATCATAGTCTAAATAGTTTCACAGAGCATATGGAAACTTTTTACTTTCCTAATATCAAAGTGAGAGATTTAATCAGAACCTTGATGTTAATACTAAAATCTGTTTCATTCTCATCCATTATTAATGATGACCCTTTGTGAAAGCATGCAAAATACTTTTGTGGGAACAAAGAATATAAAAAGTCAAGCTAGTGTTACAGTGAGATCATGCACTTAAATGAAATCCTCTAATTGAAACACAATTTGCAGTTGCAGTACAGCGTTGCATCTGTTAAGCAACAGAAAACATCAAATGGCACTGAAAGCCACTCTGAGTATATTTTCATTCTAGTTTGGTCCTTGTTGGAAAAACTTCAAAATAAACTTTACAGATCTTAGTTGCAGTAGTACTGTTATTATTGGTACTTTTATTACTAAACCAAAAAAAAAAGCAGGTTTGAACTAGGCAGTGGCTAGGCTGCTGCTGCCACCACTTCTCTCCTCTGCTGCTTCTTCTGCCACCCAGCTGCAGCATAACATGGGTTGAGCTCCTTGCCAGTAGGGATGTGCGAAGTGGGCCCTATTCAATTCGGATTTGGATTCGGCCCAAATCGGAGGCAGTGATTCAATTCATCAGTTCGGATCACTGTCCCTGATTTGATTCGGCTGAATCTGAAGATTCTATTCTGATTCAGAGAATCAGTGATTTGGCCATAGACACAGCTTTAAATGTTTTTCTACATACCTTTAGATACCAAGCGCAGCTTGTGAACGCTGTGATGCTGGGGCAGATGGAGCGTTCCACAGAAGCGCGGGGGGCCTGCATGCTCGGTGGTGATCCCAGAAGTGAACCGGAAGTACAATTGCCCTCAGGGGGACCCCAGGTGCCCACTCAGGCCCAGGAGACACCAATTGCCAAGCCGAGGAGGCACGGGGGTGGGGCCCAGCGTGCTCTCTGGCAGAACCGGAATTGGAACTTCTGGTTCACTTCTGGGTCTGCTGCTAAGTGTGCTGGGGAGCTCCCCACACTTCTGCGGGACACTCCATGCGCCACAGCATTGCAGCATTCACGAGCTGCCTGCTACCTAGAGGTATGTAGAAAAAACATTTAAAGCTGTGTCTATGTCCGAACCGTCGATTCTTTCCGAATCTCTCGAAATTGATTCGGAGGGTTCCAGTTCGATTTGGAGAGATTAAAGGGTCCTCTGATTCGATTTCGGACTCGGAGATTGACCCACTGAATCGGGCTGAATCTGCGTCGAATCGAATTGGCGACTGAAGCTTTGCACAGCCCTGCTACCCAGCTGTCTGGCTGTGGGATAGTGCCACGCTATATGAATGAGCCCCTTGCTGCTGAATGCTCTGACTCCCCAGCTCCTTAGGCCATATCTGGCCTGGAGGCTGTAGATTGCTGATTTCTGCATTAAACTGTCAAAGAGTTGCTTCTGCCTTGAAGCCACAGATCACCCAGTGTGTGTTTGTCATTTGTTCTTGACTTACATGAACATCAGTCCAGTGTAACGTTTGCTTCTTACATAGAATTCTAAGTTGATCTTTTCCTATGCAACAACATCAATAAGTTAACATGCAGTTTTACATAGTGTATAGTTTTAAGTCCATTCTCTTAATCATTGCATCATTGTAGAAGTTGGCATCTTGTGGTCACAGTTATTTTCATAGATGAAAGCATAAAATATTTCATCATGAGTCACTGGCAGCAGTTAGTTCATGACTGCAGTAGCATTTAAGAAAAAAATAAAAATATTTTAACTCTTCTTCAGCTATCTACCATGCCTTTTGAAATGTTGTTTGTTAGATATACATGAGACTCGTTTCTCTAAAAATCTACAAATTTTTAATGGATTCCTAGACTAACTTTTAATTGTTTACATACTTCAGTGTTTTGTTTTTAATGTTCTATATCTTTATACTATTGTAATAATAAACTAATTAAATTTTACCTTTTTTTTCCTTTCTTTTAGCTCCAGTAATAAACCGATTCACCAGACGGGCCTCAGGTAGGTTTGATTAAAGTTGCATGTTTTATTGGTCTAACATTAAAATATAACGATGATTCTGACAAATGCTATAATAGGGGTGGCCAAATAATAATTTGTCATGAAATGGCTCTTCAGGAGCTGCATGTAAACTGTCTAAGGCAGCATTTAGCTTGTGAGTTGCGGTTTGGCAACCCCTGTACTGTAAGGTTAATTAGATATGTTCAAAGAAAGCTAACATGAGTTTACTTCATGTTAATTATGTGGTGTGCTGAAATTTGTGTAGAATCCTCCCAGTGTTACAAAATTATTCAAAAATTGAAGCTTTTTAAAAAAAAGTATGTTTCTAGTCCTAATGGGTACTAAGAAGACATTGAAAATGTGAATGAAAACGATTGCAATGTTGAGTTGTTGAATTAGTAGGCAACCTGAAATAGAAGCTCTGAGATGCAGTACTGTTAACTCTCAGCATTCTAAAACAGTGAATCAACTCCAAAATAATTAGATGGAAAAAAACCCCAACGTCTAAGCTTTTTAAATTCATACTTTGGGATAACAGCCTTGGGGATTCATGTTACTAAGCTATTTTTGTAGCCCTGATGGCTAGAAACTTAGCTTTTATTTATTTAAATTATGTGAATCCAAAAGATGTGGCTTTAAAAAAATCACCAGATTTTGTGAGACTCATGGTAGAATTGTGAGAGTTGGCAGCAATGGGAATCTGAACCAATTCCATTTGTCTTATCATGTTAAATTTGAATCCCAAGACTAACAAAACTGATATTTTCAACTGTTAGATGTCTTACTTTTCAACTGTTAGGTCTCTTACTTAAGTTAGCAAAAATAATCGGGTAAAGTGCTCATTTCAGAATTCCAAACTTACTGCCAAAATCTCTAGCTTATCTCCTGACAAGTTTTCTGTGATGTTTCTTATTTGTAATATAAAAATGTGTCATATTGAAACCAGGAATTGTGTAAAATAAATGTAATGTCACATAGCAGGAGAGTGCCTGTGGTAAGTGAAGACACACAATAAACAAGTATAATTCCTCTCAAAATACGGTATATTTTTCATGTATCTGCTAATAGATAGACTTTATAAGACACTGAATTGCTGGAGATTATGAAATATAATGATGGGTACTAAATATGAGAACTCGATAAAAGTGAAGATATTTATAGTGCTAATTGAAATATTTGATCGCTCACTTTCCATTAGAGGAAATTTTTAACAAAGGTATGACAAATCTTTGTATTTTAATAGATGGAAACATATTAGATTCTAC